GCGCTCTGCTAAACAGTTTCGTCATTACATATGTAGTGCTACAAGCCTGAGAGTTCCGGCCGCATGTCTGTCCGTCTGTCCGTCGGATCTGAAGTCTGGAAGAAACAAGCTCTTTCATTCATTGCGAACACAAACAAGAGAATCCCTGTTTTTTCGATGCACATGTGTAATTGCAGTGTTTAAAAACGAAGAGACCTACGGCAGTGTGTTTACTGATTTTGTTGAGTGTATGGGCCCCTCCTTCTGGGGGATCTGTCACTTTGGTCACGATATGAGCCCTTTCAGTTGTTCCCATTTCACTCTGGTTAAACTGGAGCAAACTTGTGTAGCATCTAAGGCGATCACAACGGTGGTTACGAAGAGTTCTGTCTTCTGGGATATAAATTCGTGTAGTCCGTTGAAAGTCAACAGACGTTTCGGAAGTAAAATTTCGCCCCGAATATCAAGAGGAGTAAGAAACGAGCATGAAACAAATGGCAAGGCCTGGTATCTGCACCATCCTGTTTTCTTGCTAGGCTTATTATTGGACGCTGGGAAGCGATATTGCAGCGTGTAGAGCCGTTTCTAGGCAAATATGTTCCCGCAGCAACGAATCGAGGGGCAACAAAAGACGTATTGTTGGAGATGGTGTCTTCCAGTCGGTGCGTGCCGAGGGGTTATAAGGAAGACAATGGGGGGAAACGAAATCAGTTCTGTACGGGAGTCTGAAACAAGAACACTTCAGTTGGGAGCAGCTGGTCAGAAAGGACTTGAGCCCGGAAGCAGAGGAATGGCCGTTGTTAGAAGCCGTTACCAGGCAATTACTAGTGAAGACACTGCGGAGTGGAAAAGACTAAGCGTGTGTCCTAGTGATTTGTAAAGTGTGGATATCAGCGCCTCTGTGATCTAGTGGTCAGAGTTCCTGGCTACTGATCCAGAGATCCCGGATTCGATTCCCGGCGCTACCAGATTTTCTGAGAAGTAATGGGTCTTAAACGGGGTCCACTCAGCCTCGTGAGCATAATTGAGGAGCTACTTGAATGGAAAAATAGCGGCTCCGGTCTAGAAAACCGAAATTAACGGCCTTAGGGATTCGTTGTGCTGACTACGCGACACCCTCTCTCCGCTAAAGTTGGCACTAACTTCGTCGACAAGCGGCGGTCGCTCGGTCGGTATAGTTCGTTTGCAGACTAAAGCCACTGAGTTTGTTTTTTGTTTTAGACGTCTGCGATAGTGTTACAGTTATTTGTAGTTATGACCTCTAAGTGGTCAATAAATTGAGTCAGCAATCCAATCTATAGTGACTCCATACTGCGTGATAGCATGTTCCTCCGAAACTTCGCTTGAATTTCATGCGTATACGCGGACGCAAACTACCACACTATCACTTTTCCTGGATAGTCTCTTTCCAAAAACAGAGATACCATGTATGCGAGATGTTTCCTCTGGAGGCAAAACAATCCGGAGGTAACCTACTCCCCCAATCAGATCGCCGGGGGGGAGTGTTTCTAGAGGAAATGTCATGCAGGCGTCACGACAAGAAAAAGTGCGAAGATCAGAAGGAACATCATGGCTACAAGATTGGAACATGGCATGTAAGGACCTTGAATCAAGCAGGCAAATTGGAGAATTTGAAAACGGAAATGCAGAAGAATGAGGTGTCTGTTCTAGGTGTCAGCGAAGTGCCGTGGAAAGGACAAGGTGAAATAAGAAGTGGCGATTATACAGTGCATTATTCTGGAGGTGAACGGGCTGAAAGAGTACTGGCAATAGTGGTGCATAAAAGTGTAGTGAGGAGTGTTGTTAAGAAGATTGCTTGTAATGACAGAATGATTGCTCTGAAGTTAAAGGAGGAACCGGTAGATATACTGATTATGCAAGTGTACATGCCAACATCAGAGTATGAAGATGATGAAGTGGAAAGAGTGTATGACACAATTGAAGAAATTCTTCAGGAAGATGGAAGAGGTGACACAAACAGCATCATATTGGGAGACTAGAATAGCATTGTTGGAGATGAACCATATCAGAATATTGTTGGATCACATGGACTAGGAAGACGGAATCACAG